GGGGGGGGGGTCTCAGGGCTAGTGCTGATGGGTGGATTCAAGTCCTTGGGTGGGTGGTTTTGGGACCAAGTGTCCTGGATCTAGTTTTGGCCTCCTGGTGGGAAAGGTCAGCTCCTGAAATGGGTGGCTGTGGGATCTGGGATGTCCCAAAGTTGGCACTGGCCTATGGGTGAGTGGGGCTGGGTCCCAGTGTGTGTGGTTGAGGAGCCCAAGGTGTCACAAAGCTGGTGTTGTCCTGCTGATTGCCAGGGCTGGGGCCCAGAGGTCGTTAGGGCTAGTGCTGGCCTGCTGGTGGATGGAGTCTGGTTCCAGAGTCTCTGGCTACAGTACCCTGGAGATCCTGGAGCTGGTGTCGGTCCACTGATGGGCAAGGCCAGTTCCTGACACAACTGGCTATGACATGCATGGTGTCCCAAAGCTGGTATTGACCTGCTGGTGGGTGGGTCCTGGGGTCTCTGGCTCAGGACTCCAGGGATCTCAGAGTTGGTGTTGGCCCCTTGAAGTGGGGTGCCTGGGGCTAGAGGTGATTGCTGGCAGAGTAGAGTCCTGTGGAGTCCCAGGGTCTCTGGATGCAGGGCCTTGGATGTCCTGGAGTTGGTTTCAGCTGGCTGGTGGTAGAGCCAGGGCCCAGGGGCCTTGGGACTGGGGCCTGCCCAGCGATGGGTTAGGCTGGTCCCAGGGCTAGTGTCAGCCCACTGGTGGGTGGAGTCAGGTCCTGGGGTCTCTGGCTGCAGGGCTCCAGGGATACTGGGACTAGTGCCAGCACACTGGTGGGTGGGTCTTGGTCCTGGGCTTTCTGGTGGGCAGGTCCAGGTCCTAGGGTGGCTGGGGGCTCAGGGGAAGCTATGGCAGTCAGCCTGCTGATGGATTGGGCTGTGTCCCTGCCTTGTTAGCTGCTTGGCCTGAGGCATCCCAGTATTGGTGCCAACAGGCTGGTGGGCAAGTCCAGGTCCTGGCACTATAAGCTGGAAGGAGGATTCCAAAATAGCATTTGCTAGCACCAATGTCCATGTGGTAGAAGGAGCTTCCCAAAACTGCTGCCACAATTGTAATTATCCTCCTGTTTGTGGCTCAACCACTGGGGGTATGGGACTTGACTATATTGTGTCTCCACCCCTCCTATAAGTCTTGTTGTGGTTCCTTCTTTATATCTTTAGTTGTAAAAGATCTTTTCTGCTAGTCTTCAGGTCCTTCTCATCAATAATTGCTTCATAAATAGTTATCTTTGTAAAAAAATTTCTCACTGTGTTTCTTCATTCTTCCTCTAAGTTCAATGAGCATCTTTATGACCATTACTTTGAATTCTTATCTGGAAGGTTGCTTATCTCCATTTTGCTTAGCTCTTTTTTTTTTTTTTTTTTTTTGCGGTACGCGGGCCTCTCACTGTTGTGGCATCTCCCGTTGCGGAGCACAGGCTCCGGACGCGCAGGCTCAGTGGCCATGGCTCACGGGCCCAGCCGCGGTATGTGGGATCCTCCCGGACCGGGGCACGAACCCGCGTCCCCTGCATCGGCAGGCGGACTCTCAACCACTGCGCCACCAGGGAAGCCCCGCTTAGCTCTTTTTTTTAGGTTTTGTCTTGTTCTTTCATTTGGAACATATTCCTTTATCTCTTCATTTTGCCTAATTCTCTGTGTTTGTTTCTATGTATTAGGTAGATCAACTATATCTCCCTGTCTTGAAAGAGTGGCCTTGTGTAGAAGGTATCCTTTGGGGTTCAGCAGCATGGTCTCCCTGGTCATCAGAGTCAGGTCCTCCAGGAGTACCCTCTGTGTTGGGTGTGTGTGCCCTCTTGTTGTGGCTTACTGTGGGAGAGCTGCTATGTGGGGCTGGCCTTTGGTGAGTCTGACTCTAAGGCCCAGCTGCAACTGTTACAAAAGCTTTTATGTGCAGGGCTGGGCCCTTCTGTGGAGCCACTTTGGGGGGCATCAGTGAAATCCATGGGTGCCTGACAGTACTGGTGGTGTGGGGAGCCACTTTGGAGGGGCTCCAGTGCCTACTGAGGGAGACTGCCAGGTCTGCTTTGGGGGATTGCTGGTTGGATCTGGTCCAAAGCAAGTCGAATGCAAGGCAAAGTGAGTGGTGTTGATTAGATAGGGAGAACCAGAAATGACACCTGATAGTGCTGGGCCAGCAAGGTGGACAGTGAGCCACAACCTCCACCCCCCACACCCCCAAATTGGCATCCACCACTTCCTCCATTCCCAGAGAAAGTTCCAACAGATCCCTGCCCCTCAGGCATATGCTCTAAAATTAGTTGATTAATCTCCTTCATGTATGACTGAGGTGCTTTTCAAACTACTGTCTCTGTGCTGGGAATTGGGAGAGGGTAAGTTTTTAAGTGTGAACCCTATAATAGTGGATTCTCAGTTTCCTATAGCCCTCTGGCTCTCCTGGAAATAAACCCTGCTGTTTTTCAAAGTCAGACATTATGGGGGCTCATATTCCCAATGCAGGTTCCCCAGGCTAGGGAACCCAACGTGGGGTTTGGAGCCCTCATTCCTCAGGGACGACCTCTGAGCCTATGATATTCCTTCCAGCAATGAGTTGCAGTGACGGAGTGTGGGTTCTGGCTAGAGCATGTCTCTGCCCCTCCTATCCATCTCAATGTGGCTTTTTCTTTTTATATTTAGTCGTGGAAGTCTTTCTATTAGTCTTCAGGTTGGTCTCAGATATAGTTTCTCTACATATAGTTGTAATTTTGGTGTGTTCGTGGGAGGAAGTGAGTCGAGGATCTTCCTACTCTGCCACCTTGTCCTGGTCCCTGGATTGAAATTGATTAACTTTGTATACAATGCTTGGAAATTAGTAGGTATTGGATAAATGTTTGCTTAATAAATGAGCAAATAGATGAGTGTTGTATACATGTTAAGAAAGCAAAATTATAGTGTGGGGTGGGCAGAGACAAGAAAAATTGTTTCTCTTCTGTTAGCTGCAAGATATTTGTAATATATTATTATCTTACACAGAATATTTGACTTTTAAGTTTGCATTATGATAGCAATCAGCAGAAATAGACACAAGTTAATTATAAAAATAGAATTCAAATATATATATTTCTAGTATAGTTTCTATGGTTTTAAAGGGAAAGACATAGGGCAAGTACAGATACAATTTAAGCCTGGACTTTGGAAAAATGTAACAAACATTTGGTTTGTGACCTTGAAAAAAACCTTAAAAAATAGAAAATAAATTCCCTATATCTAATCTTGATCTTTCTTCCATTTGCCAGTGATTATGTGAACCTTTATTTTCTTCCTTCCTTCCTCCCTTCTTCCCTCCCTCTCTTTCTCTTTTTCTTTCTTTCCTCCTTTTTTCCTTTTTGTAAGAACAAGACCACTTTAATTTTCTGCCACAATCTGATTTTAAACTTGGCATTGGTTGTATATGAGCTCAGAGAAAACACAGAAAATCAGTAGGGGAGTATTGAATGATTATATGGTTGATCTTAAAGGGAGAATTAGGAGTGAATTTGTTCCTTTACCTTTCTGACTGAATCACAGTGATCAAAAAGATTAATCACTTCATCTACTGGCAGATAGTATACTTTATCACTGAACTATTTAATATACTCTAGGATTTATAAAGAGTAAATATATTTATAGTGTTTACAAGATTCAGAAAAAGTGTCCTCAAAGGTATTGTTGAATGTTTTACTTCTTTTTTGTTAATTTCACTGTCTTTTAAACATTTGAAGAGTAGATGCAAAATTCTACTGAAATAAATTATGAAGTTCTCTTTTCTATTTAAAGAGAAATAGGGGCTTCCCTGGTGGCGCAGTGGTTGAGAGTCCACCTGCCGATGCAGGGGACGCGGGTTCGTGCCCCGGTCCGGGAAGATCCCACATGCCGCGGAGCGGCTGGGCCCGTGAGCCATGGCCGTTTAGCCTGAGCGTCCGGAGCCTGTGCTCCGCAACGGGGGAGGCCACAGCAGTGAGAGGCCCGCGTACCGGGAAAAAAAAAAAAAGAGAGAAATAGTGCTTGTCTTTCCCTAAACCATAGTAGATACTTCTATGCAGCTGCTTTCTATTTAAGGCTAGTAAAACTAATTTATTTTATATTTCTAAAATTATCAAGAATATTTTTCTTTATCTTTTTTTTTAAAGCTGAGCTTTTGAATGTTTCTGACAACAATAATAATGGAAACTATTCTAATAAGTGTTCTTGCAGCATCAACTAAAACAAATTAGTTGAACACAATTTAATCCTAGAATTCACAATTCTTTTAAGACAAAAACTATATTTTTCTTTTTCAAAAAAACATATTCTTTGCTTGCTTTACTTTTCAATTTATCTTTTTAAAAAATTTTAGAACAAAATTAGGAATAGCTCCATCCATGGCAACAGTAGCTAAGAGACAATTAGAGACCCCTTTCTAATTCCCACAAATTTATACTAGTCTGACTGAGATATGTAAATGTATTTTCATTTTCTATGAAAACAACAAACCCCATAAATTGTAATGGGGCTTGTACATTCAAATCAATTTGGCAAAAAATAAAATGAAAGAAGTAAAATTTTCCTTTTTTTGGACATAACTTCATGTCTTTTAAGTTCCTCTTATTTTGTTGCAGCTCCTGACTGAGCAAAGCTCTATTTGCAAATGCAGCTTTATAATGAAGCAAAAGCAGCAAGCTCTGCCAGTACTGTAGTGTAGGAAATTGCTGATATAATTTCTTTGCTGTAG